GGGGTGCATTTCTTGGCTCTGGGGCCAAATTGTTGGTAGTACCAGCAATGTTGAGGGTTAGAGCTGGCTGGCGGGTGATTTCTGCGGGTATGTGAAGTCGAGCGACTTCGACTTCGACTACGGCTGGATGACCGTGAGCGGGAGGGGTGAAAAACCAATTGCTGCATCTGCAGTTCAAGGTTCCCCATGCGCGAAGTGATATTATCACAGCGAGGGACGGTCGGAGTTGGGTTAAAGCAAGCGGTGATGTGATGCGAAGCTGGGTTTGCTTTGAACATTTTATCCGCGGCCATTACCATTTAATCCAACGAACTGCTGGAGAGGACGGATAAAACTTCTCGGATGCGTGGAGGGGGACGCTTTAACCAAAGCTTGCGGAGGATGTCGTCATCAAGTACGCGGGTACCCAGGAGTTGCCGCATGTGTCGCAACAACTGGGACGGGGTGTGGTCGCCGATTTCGAGTCCCCAAACAACTCATCTAATCGACGTTCATCAGACACAGCTGTGCGGGTGATAAACGCTTCCTTCAATTGAGTGTATGGGTCAGTCTCGGGCATGGTGATGATGAATTCGAACACCTGGTCCGCAATATCGATGGACAGGAAAGTGACTATATGGGAATACATAAGCGTCTGGGAACGGATGCGGTGGGCACGGAAATGGGCTTCGGCTTGGGAAAACCATAACCGGGGGTTGTTAATACCGAATTCCGGTAATTTAATGTGCGACGACATGCGAAGGTTCTCTATGTCTAGTTTTGATTGCTCCATGTGTGAAATATACCGTAAACAAGTAAGATAAAATGAAGTGAAATTCCTGAAGAATCTGGGGTACCGCAGGAAAATATGAAGCGATAGATAATCTAAACAAGGGCTAACCAAATATTTAGTGGGAAAGATACTACATATACGAATAATAATGAAATAAACGGTACAATGAACGGACTCACTGAAGGATTGTCCGCTGGTCGATTGATTCTGTTCTTGTGACGTGTGGTTCCGGTTGACGAGGTGTAGAGGAGCTGAAATGGGTGACTGCGACAGTTAACGGACTGCTTGACGATAACTAATGCTTGCTTAATTCCTCGGCAACACTCGGAGAACACGTGCGTATTTACGAACAGAATTTCGTATTGTAGTATTAGGTACTGAGTATATTAAAACAAGCTGTACAATCAGGTCAGATAAAGTGGATAGAAAAGTAAGACACTACAATATCTCTGAAATCGATCGATTTTTCTTTCTATCTGCAATCAGAGATAAAAAGAAATACTAATTCTTGCAGTGTCGGTGAGAGAATTTTCTACATTTGTTTGATTAAATAATTCAGTCCGTAGGTGTTTAACCACGTTTTGTGCGGTATCTGGAAGTGTAAAATACAATATATCTCGCATGCATACTCGGCTGTGATCTTCAGTAGGCGGACAGTACAATCAAATAAACAACTTGGATGGTAATGATCAACCAAGCAGAATCAACCAAGAATTAAAACAGCTATCGTTTGCAGGAATAATAATAAATGGTGAAGATAAAGAAAGACCAGATTGGTAGAGAGAATGGAATGCCACTCACAAAATCCTATTTCACTCATGAAAATGTTGTTTTCACAATCATCTACGGTGCTTCAGCCGCCGTAACACTCCCATCCGGATAGCCACTCGTCTTTAACATTAACCCTGTAACGCAAATATTGTTGCTAGCAAACAGTTAAAATTTACATCCTGAATAAATACAAATGGCGAACAATTACCTATAAAGAATGAAATCAGTGTGTTTGAAAAGATTTGCCTTGCGTTGAACTATTGTTTACACCCAAACGGCACCTCTCCGTTATACATAATTTCATCTACTAGATGGCTCTCTTCTCATTAACCCTATGAAACCATGCTTATATGACCAACGAGAAATTGATTACTGCATGAGTTCAATGATTGTTATCGAATCAACTAAATTACTTTACTTGTTGGGTGTAACCCAGGGTGACCTATTTTGGTGTATCCTTTTTTACTCATCAGTATACGGTGATATGACACATGATCCGTTTTTGTTTGAAGTTTCTCGGTGTATGCGGTCGCCTCACAGCTAGATGGCATGAACCAAAGGCTTTACGTGCATTCGCCACACCCAATCAGTGAGAGCTCCAAAAACAATATCACACCCAATATTGATGTCATATTTATCATGCTGGACCAACAATTATGTAAACCTGGTCTGAAAAGATTGAGTATGTGCCAAGGTCTAACCCAATGACAAGTGCACCATCACCTTTATTTTGAAATAAGGCTGATTCTCCGTCATCATCCATAACATTCCTGAAATTTTTTTCTCGAATACCCAAAAGTTCCACCAATTAAACCATGAACAGACAACAAGGGAACTGACTGTCAAGACAACATCTGTGTTTTTTCTATCGACGAAGTGATACTAGTCCTAAGGGCACGGTCGTATATATGAAGGCAAGTTGTGCAAATGAAGAAATAAGTCATCAACAGAAGCTCATCAAGTACACTTAACAAACAAACAATTGCTTGTAATAAACATCGAAGAATAACTGTTGCAAAAATAAAAAGTCAACCTTTCATTTAACTGTCATCTTTCTCTAACCGATATTACGCGTACATCATGTAGCACAGTCCCATGCGATGCTCAAACAAATACTTCCCTCATTACTGCATCTTTGCTAATAAGAACCTTCATAACAACTCCTAATGACCAGCTATTTCTATGGATACCTTCAGTGATCAAGAGCATCAGGCCTCCCGCTTTCGACTTCTTACCTTCTTCCTGCCTTTATTGTAGAAAGGTCAGGTATTCAGACTTCCATCGTTTCCAAAAAGTATCAAAAAATACCTGAAATCTTCATAAAGGACGGATGCACGACTGCAAAAATTCCAGACAATCTATTCCTGCTTCGTTATTTATAAGTAATACCAGCTTATTCAGAGTGAGAACTCCCAAATCTCTAACATAACCGGATGTCGGAGTTAATAGACGATTGTTTGAAATTTGTTTCTACCTCAGCAAAATCTGTAACTGAAGCTTCACTTGTCATTTGCTGGCTGTGAGAAATCGCTTGAAATATCATCCTGACGGTTATAATCATTCTTTCCCAAAACCCTCCCCAGTGACTGGTGTCAGATGGTCCAAAGTGCCAACGTATTTTGCGATTCACAAGGAAATGTTGAATCTTGACTTAAGACAAACATTGCATACATGGCTGTAACTCGGCATAAGCACTTCTGAAGTTACTTCCGTTATCACTTAAAATGACTTCACGGTGTCTCCGTCTCGCCATGAGCCGTATTAACGCTTGTATAAACGAATCCGTTGACAGGGGATGGGCGTTTTCCACGTGCACCGCTCTTACACTTAGACGGATGAACACACAACTATACCGCTTTTCCACAGTCCTTTAAGGCTTTACAAAAAGGGTCAAAATAATTCACGCCAACCAGAGCAAACGCATTTCCTCTTATGCAGGTACGTTCCTAAAGCAACGGTTTAATCACCTGGAATCCAGGTCGTACGGGTTTACGCCGACACGGCAGGCATTTCCCTGTCACATGACACCCTGCGACTCAATCATGCACTATCCAGAAACGTCTAGTAGAGAAAACTTGATTACTACTCACATGCCCGCATGCCTAATGGTAGTCACGAATTACGGGCTCAGACACGTAGTGTCTTGAATGCAAAATAACGGGATACTCTACGTCTCCGGATGGACTATTCCAATTTAGACCACCTCCCACGTACACTAAACTATCGATTGTCATTTGTTTCACTTTGCGAATTTGTACGTGCTTACTCCTATCAGAAATCATACTTTACCCACAACCTAACCGCTCTAAATCTTGACCAAAGTATTTCGCTTAAATATTCTCACCATCCTTTTGCAGCTGTCTCTCAATTCTTGTATGGATAATGATCCTAAACGCACAGGTAAATCGCTTCGTTCACCAAAAAAACAGATAAATGATGTTTATATCTTACGAGGCACGCCTCTGAGTAATTTAAGCCAAGAAGAAAATCTGCCGAAATGTCGCAGACAATCAAAGTGATTCATCGCAATAATGACAACCTTAGACTTCGACTCCAAGTCTTGAAGTCTTGAAGTATTACACGGGTGCGAGGCTAGGCCCAATGGTCCCGGATCTTAGTAGTTTCCAAAGTTTCCCTTGGTCCTGTGTCCCGGTGAGCCGGGTACGGACAAGGCTCCACTGTGGCGGACGTTTGGAAATGAGAGTTAGTTCGTGTCCTGTTTGTACAGGAAGGTTACCTGAAATGAGGTAAGAGGAGGGGAGAGAGGTGCAGTATCTGCATGCAGTGCAAGAAATCGGAAAGTACAGAAAAAATACTACGAATTTCACTATGAGGCGTGGAGAGGTTTACCGTTCAGGGATTAGACTAAGATACCGGTCTAGATCCCTTTTGAAAGCTGATCATGTGGGGGTATTAACTACTTCTTATGGAGGCAATTCCAAAGAGGAATGACCCTGTGGGTGAAAGAGCACTGACGAATTAGTGTATGGGCATGCGGTTTGAAGATTTTCATGCTATGTCCACGAAGATTGTCCGTACTAGTGCGCACAAAGAAGTCATCGACCCTGCCAGAATTAAAGAGGTTGTAAGGTAGTAAGATGTTACCTTTTATCCGGTGGGTTTCAAGGGGGTACAGGTTCAAGATGGAAAGGCGTGTAGGATGAGGGGTGGAGGACAAACCGTGCACAAGTTTTGTCTCCCTCCGTCGTACACGCTCCAGGGCCGTACAATCGCACACCAGGCGGGAGTAAGCACTTTGACTCCCGTATTCCAATAAGGGTCGGACGTACACGCTATATCAAATCTTGAAGTCATCTCTATCTATTGAAGGAAACGAACGTCTTAGAAAGCTAAGTACACGGAAGGCGGATCTACTGGCTTTTGTTGGTGATAAGATAACGAAAGTGATCTGATCAGCTAGAACCTTGTGGTGTTCTACACTCTCCATAGCCGTGGAAGCTTTAGCCATGAAAATAAGTATGGGGACCTTCCCAAACGACATACGCATTTGTCGTCGTTTATTGGAAAGATCCAGGCCGTAGACCAGTCTTTGACTGTATTCATTGCTGATTGAACAGCCACCGGGTCGGTGCCTCAGACAGTCACATCGTCAGCGTACATTGCTACATTGACTCCGATACTGTGTGGCAGGTCGTTAATGTATAAAAGGAAGAGGAGGGGCCAAGGACGGAAACTTGCAGGACCCCGGTAGAAATAAAAGAGTCAGATGAGAGGGATGAACCTACGCGAACCGAGAAGGTGCGGTTCGTGAGAAAATCGCGAAGACGAACGCGGAGTCTGTCACTGAGGCCATATGACTTGAACTTATGGAGTAAGGGAGCGTGAGGGACACGATCAAAAGCTTTTGCAAAATCAAGGAAAATTGCTTGGGGGAACCAAGCCATCATTATGGGCTTAATTTAGACTGTTCATAACAGGTAGGATATTGGAGATGCAGGATATTCTAGGGAGGGGGGGGAAGCTGTGTTGAGTTTGGGAAAGAAGTTGATTGTCTGATGGGTGTTTCAGCATTGCTCTTTGTAAAATCGGTTCGAAGACCTGGCTGAATACGCTAGTCAGGTTGA